GGACTATGGGCAGGTGAGTGAGAGGGCAGGACTATGGGCGGGTGAGTGGAATGGGCAGGACTATGGGCGGGTGAGTGAGTGGGCAGGACTATGGGTGGGTGAGTGGACTTGGCAGACAGGTTGTGTGTGGGACAAGTTAAAACTGTACAGTAAAGGCAAAAACAGTGGTCATGGTCATTACGATGGAAAGGGGTGTGTTAGTGGGCTGTCGGAGGGTCAGTTCAGGTGAGAAATCAGGTCAGCATTTGATTGGAGTTCAGTTGAGTTGTGGGAGGGGTGGTTAAGGGGGTTGATGGTGGTGTTCGATTCAATTGTACTGGCTAATCTCTCAGACTCAAATTCTATCCAGCTTAACGCTTCGTGGTTAATTTTCCAGGTGAGCCCAGAGTGTCTGACCTAGATCTCCAACCCTGAGCTCAGTGTTGGAGAAATTCATGGAGAATTTTGAGCAGCACAAATCTGCCCAGTACCCATTTGAATGAGCCACACATGTGGCTGTGTGAGGATCCCACAGTATCCCGAAGTGCAACACAGATACTCATCCTGATTCCCCCTGCTCCAGACATTGGAAAATTTGACTGATTTTATTACTTTGCATGTAATGCCTTCATATATGACTACTGTTTGTGCTTTCACTGTACAGGTTTTAACTCGTTACTATGCTCGATTATCGAAGGTAGTCAAAGAATGCAAAAACTTTGATTTACGAGTTACTGTGGAAGATATGCCTCAAGGTGAGCTGTGTACAGATTGTCCATAGCTTGTCATTTCTCACAATGAACTTACTTGGAAATACAATCAGTGAGATGAAATATTCTAGCATCTCTTATTCTCCAACATGAAATATGATGAGATATTTTTGTTTGCTCCATAGCATTGGAAGTCTACTGAAGTGATAGGAAGTAGTTAATGAATTGGTAATATCATGGTTATATTATTGGATGTGTAATCTTGAGGCCTGAATAATATTTTAACAGTTAACAAAATAAATTTGGTGTATAATAATAAATGTGACCATGAAACTCTCAGATTGTTATTAAGAAAACCAATCTGTTTGTGGAGGAAATCTGCTGTCCTTATTCGGTCTGACCTACATATAAATCCAAACCAATAGCAATATGTTATGAACATGTGAACAGTTTGACTCCTAATTGTCATTTTTTGGTCTAATCGGCCACTAGTTTAAGGGCAGTTCAGGATGGCAATCAAAAATAACATTTTCAAAGGTCAAATAAGCGAACCCAGAAAATCTGCTGTCTGTTATATTCATTCTGAGGGCATCAGAAAGCTTCTCGGTATTTGTTAAAAGCTGCCGACTCATCAGCTGTTTGAGCTGTGTTGAGTGCTGCAACTTTTCTTTGCCTGCACGGCCACTTCCCCTTCACCTCTGGGGAGCTGCCTGTTCTACTCACTAAGTTAGTGACAGGTTCTACCATGGCTTCTGCATACCTTTCTCACTGGCGCCAGGCAGTCAGTCTTTGCCAACCAGAAATAACATTTGAGCAACACAGTTGAGGCACGGGTCACGAGTTTATCTGGGTATTGGTTTCCCAACACTGCTTTGAACATCTGACCCCTTAAATCCGTGTCCTCTAGCCCTTGCACCATCAGTTTGTGCGCATAGCTTTTCATCGGCTACTTGATCTAAATGTGCCATTATCTTTCACATTCTATCAAATCATTCTATCACTCAATGCCCAATGCTCCAAGGAGCTCTTGTGGCACAGTGGCAATGAACTTCCCCCTGAACCAGGTGACCTGGGTTCAAGTCCCACCTGCTCCAGAGGTGAGTAATAGCATCTCTCAACAGGTTGATTAGAAAATCCTTACCTTATGATCCAGTTTCTTTCATCCAACCTTAGGGACTAAAATCCTTCAACTCTGGAGCTATTCTGGTAAATCTCCACTGCACTTTCTCAAAGAACCTCACAGCCCCTGTTTACACTTGTCCTCATTTCAATGACAAGCTGTATTCTACCATAGCGCCTTTAATATTTTGTAATCTATATTTCATGGAACTTAGAATGTTGAAAGTTGTTCTCGTTGAAATACATACAAATCTTAAGGGGTTTGGCAGATTAGATGTTGGCATGAGTTTACTCTGATTGGGAAGCAAAGGAACTTTTCATTTATTCTTTGATGGGATGTAAGTGTGATTAACTTGACCAGTATTTGATGCTCACTCCTAATTGCTTTTGAGAATGTTATGGGATCTCCAGCAGCACTTGGCAATGGTTATTTAGGGTGGCTGGGCAATTTTATGGTGTCTCACTGGAAAGAGGAGAAGCCTTTTGCGGAAAAAGGGTATATGGAAGGGAGGAACAGACAGACAAAGGAATTCCTCAAGCCAGGGTAACCCATAAGCTCACTTCATGTAAAACTGTAAATAGTTCCTTCTTTATCTTTAATGGCCATTTCTGTTTGTAATGACCTGACGCCAGTAGAATATAGAATCCCCAAGTCACATCTTTGGTCCGTCTGCGTGTTTAAATGTTCATATTGCAAAGAAGATGGTGGTAAGCTGCTTGGACCTTTTGGTCATTGCGCAGTGAGGAAGTGGCTTACAGGACTTTGACTCAGTGCCCATGAAGGAACAATTATATATTTCCATGTCAAGATGATGTGTGGCTTGGAGCTAAACTTGCAGTTGGTGGTGTTCTGTTGGTATAGATCATGGGTTCAGAAGATGTTGTCAAGTGAGCCTGGTGTCTTGGAACTGGCACATGTTGCTGCCATTCTGTGTCGGTAATGGTGAAAGTGAAAGGTTAATGTGGTTGACGAGGTGCTGTTAAAGTGAACTGCCCTGACTAGAGCAATGTTCTGAGGCATTTTTGGAGGTGCACTCATCCAGGCAAAAGAAGTGTATTCGTTACACTCCTGGCTTGTGCCTTGTAGATGGTGGACAGACTTTGAACCAGGGTCTTGTCAGCACTCTCAAGCATATGCAATTGCATAACACATTTTAAAGAGGAGGAGGCAAATTCTCCCAGTTTCCTGGTCAACATTTATCTGGAATTAATGCTTAAGGTTAGCTGACCTGGATATGTATATCATTGGTATTTGTGGGGCCTTACTGAATTACAACATTACTGCAATACAACAGTCTCAAAATACTTCATTGACTGTAAGGATTGTTTTAGGTAATGAAAAGAGCAACATAAATGCAATTTAATTTATTCTTTTATGCACATTCAAATGTATAATTGTGAATTAAAATGTTTGTGATTGCAATAGCCATTTTTATTTTGCATTGGTACAGCGAATTCACCCCAAGGTGCTCTGAGTTCTCTGGCGATAAATATCTATGCACGGTAAGAAATACAGATTTCAAAAATTTTGATTACATTTGAGACCTCATATTGACAAGGAAATTGGTTGGGCAGATTTCTGAGATGGAAAATAATTGATGCACTTATTTGAAACATTGTATTAACATTGGTTCAGTTTTCTTGTATTGTCAATCAAATTATTCCTTATAAAATCAACAATCAGTCTTTGAACATGAAGTTAAAGAATATCTCATTGAGATCAAACTCTCTGATCCTGCACTATCACCTCCAACATGTGTGAAGAGCTCATGGACTACTGTCACTAATGATGAAGCACTCCACTGAGCTAGCTCTGCTTATTTCCATCCTTGTTGCTCATCAAAGCAAACTTTCCATTGACCACACTCTGAACCTTCTCTGGTTTCTCTTCTTCCTCTATTCATTGATGATTCAAGTATAACTTGTACATTAGATCCACCTTCTGTGCCCCATCACGCTATTCTCATTTATCTTAGACCATAAGAACTCAGAGCAGGAGTAGGCCATTCAGGTCCTTGAGCCTGCTCTGCCATTCAACAGAATCATAGTTAATCACATCTTAGCATCAACTCCACTTTCCTGCCTCCTCCCTATCACCTTTTAACCTGTTACTAACTGAAAATCGATCTATCTATTCCATGAATTTATTCAGTATTCCTGCATCTACCACACTCAGGTAGTGAATTCCACAGATGCACGACCCTTTGAGAGAAGTAATTCCTCCTTATCTCTGTTTTAAGTCTGCTACTCTTTATCCTAAGACTATGACCTCTCATTTTAGACATGATGAAACACCCTTTCTACGTTGACTGACCACACGTGCTGCATTCCTTATTCCAATGTTAACTGACATTGTCAATGGTTACCTGTCTGGTTTATCATCACCTTCTTTGAAACAATTGCCATTGATCATTACAGTTACTCTGAAATTTTAACTCACATTAAGTGTAACTCCACGCTCGAACTTGAAGTCGAGGGTACCAACTCCAACCATAACACCGACAAGACTAAGTAAAGTCACAGCTGGCATCCTTAGCTCTTGCCTCTATTTGCTCTTCAAAACAAGAGTCAGCTACTCTCTAGCATCCTTGAATCTGTTGGTGTACACCTATGGTGCAGTTAGAGAGGGAGTTCTGGGAGGTTGACGTGTAGGCAACAAAGGAATGGTATTGTTGTTCTGAGCCAAGATTGAGTGTACTCAGAGTGGAACCTGTAGCTAATGATATCCCCATGCTGCTGCTAGTCTTTTTCTTCGAGGCGGTAGAGGCCTGAGTTTGAAGCAGCCTAGGTGACATGCTCCCCATGCATCTAGCAGGTAGCATACTTGATGGAGTTGGGGAATGCTCAGAGTGCCAGGTACAAAGCCAATAAGAGAGGTCACCTTGTCTTGGATATTGTCAAAATTCTTTGCAACGTGACCCTCAATGCAAGTGGAGTGTAATCTATCACACTCCTGAGTTGTGCCTGTCTCATATCAGTAGGAGTGATGCTGTCTGTTTTTATCCCTTTAAATTCAAATTTTTACTCGTTAGTCTCTTTATATCTCAGTAGAAGTTATTTTATCCCAGCAGTTTGTGAACGGAAATGTAAATATAAGTTTATTGCATTATGCAATTTCAAGGAATTCAGGTAATACTGTAAACCAAGCGGAACCTTTTTAAGACCATAACACACAGGAGCCGAAGTAGGCCATTCAGCCCATCGAGTCTGCTTTACCATTCAATGAGATCATGGCTGATCTGATAATCTTCAACTCCACTTGCCTATCTTTTACCCATGACCATTGATTCCCTTCCTGATCTAAAATCTATCCCAGCCTTCAGTATAATGAATGACACAACTTAGACAGCATGTGGGAAAGAATTCCACAGATTCACTCCTCCCAAGAGAAGAAATTCCTCCTCATTTCTGTCCGCGAGAAATGCGTGCCCCCTTATTCTGAGATGATGTCCCCTGGTTCTAGGCTCTCCCACATAGTCAAACATCCCCTCACATCCACCCTGTCAAGTCCCTAAGTATTTTGCATGTTTCAGTAAGGTCTCCTCTCGTTCTTCCAAACTCCAATGAGTACAAGCCCGACATACTCAACCTCTCCTCGTAAAACAATCCCTCCAAACCTGAAATCGGCTAAATGAGCCTTCTCTGGACTGCTAGTATATCTTTCCTTAGCTGAGGATACAAAAACTGTTCACAGTATTCTAGCTGTGGACAAGTGCCTTGTACAGTTTCAACTAAACCTTCCTATGTTTATACTCTATTTCCTTTGAAATAAAGGCCAACATTCCATTTACCTTCCAAATTGCCTGCTGAACTTGGATGCTAGCTTTAAGATTCAGAGCTTTTGATCTAAAAATCTACGATTTCTCTTGATAAAAGCTGATGATTGTAAAGTTGTTCTTTCACCAACTTTGGCAGTAAAATTGTAACAATTTGCACTTTAAAGATATCTCGGTGACTCAGATTCTTCAATGGCCATTATAGACATTTCCATGCTGACAGGATTTTCTCCAGATTTAGACGATCTTAATTCGGTAAGACATCATTATTATTTATTAGGAAAAGCTAATAAGGGGACCTAGGGGTGGAGGTGCATAGTTCCTTGAAAGTGGTAGATAGATTGGATGGTGAAAAAGGCATTTGGCATGCTTGCCTTCATTGGTCAATGCATTGAGTAAAGGAGTTGTGATATCATGTTATGGCTGTATGGGACATTATTTAGGACAACTTTTAGAAAATTGTGTTCACTTCTGGTCCCCCTGCTATCAGAAAGAAGTTGTTAAACTCGAGAGGATTCAGAAAAGATTTACAAGGACATTGCTGGGGTTGGAGGGTTTGAGCGATAGGGAGACGGTGAATAGGCTGGGGCTATTTTCCCTGGAGTATCGGAGGCTGAGGAACGACCTTATAGAGGTTTATAAAACCGTGAGGGGCATAGATAGGGTGAACCACCAAGGTGTTTATCCCAGGGTAGGATAGTCCAAAACTTGAGGGCATAGATTTGAGGTGAGAGGGATAAGATTGGAAAGGGACCTGAGGGGCAACATTTTCACACAGAGGGTGGTGCACGTATGGAACGAGCTGCCTGAGGAAGTGGTGCAAGCTGGTACAATTACAACATTTAAAAGGCATCTAGATGGGTACATGAATAGGAAGGGTTTAGAGGGACATGGGCCAAATGCTGGCAAATGGGACTGGGTCAGTTTATGATATCTGGTCAGCATGGACGAGTGGGACTGATGGGCCTGTTTCCATGCTGTATAACTCTATGATTCTGCTTATGCCACAACCAAGACCACATCAGAAAATAAAATTAAAGGTGCTACATCCCAAATTAGGAGGTTTCATCACTCCTTCAATTGTGGCCCTCATGAGTGGCACAACTGATCCAGTTGTGATAGTTGTAATCTAGTCGATCTAGTAGCCATGACTGAGTGTCCAGCAGAATTATATCGAACCATTGGGGTCTTACCTACCAGCTGGAGACCTGCAGCTTCTGTTACTTAGGCCAATGAGATCTGGCCTGGAATCTAGGACCTTGAATGTGAATGTCCTGCCACTGGCCAGTCAATAAGAGGCTGCCCACTCTATTTCATGAGCAATGTTAGGATTCAGAGGCTGCTCCTAGTTTGGCAGCCACCTGGGGCATCAGCTTGAGGAGATCACATAGGCAGAGGTGAGCAATGTTGGGAAGAAGTTTGCAGCAGAGGGATGGGAGTGGTTTGATGGTACAGTCAACAGCAAGGTCTGGGGATGGGGGAAGGTGGTGGGGGGGTGCGGGTGTTGATCGCTGTCACCAAGTCCCACCTGCAGTCTTCCTCAATCAGACACGGAATGTCTTTAAACCAGGCACCTCCTGAGAGACTGCTAACAAATGTGCCAGGAATTTTTCATTGTTCTTCCCACATAATGAGTCTTCTGTCTGCTGCTCGGTCAGTAGCAGTGTCAAACTCGCTTACAATACTGGTCCCTTTACTTGAGGAAGGATATAATTTCATTGGAGGCAATCAGAGAAGGTTCACTAGATTGATTGTAAAGATGAGGGGCTTGTTTCATGGGCAGTTTTTAGGCCCATACTTTGGTAGAGTTTAGAAGAATGAGCAGAGATCTAATTGAGGTATGTAAGATGCTAAAGAGGATTGACTTAGTAGACATAGAGAGAATTTTTTTCTTTATTCATTCATGGGATGAGGATGTCTCTGGCTAGGCCAGTATTCATTGCCCATCCCTAATTACCCAGAAGACAGTTAAACTTCAACCACTTTGCTATGTGTTTGATGTCACGTGTAGGCTAGACCAGGTAAGGATGGCAGTTTCCTTCCCTAAAGGACATTAATGAACCAGATGGGTTACATTTGTGAACTGGGATGGTGAATATTGAATGGTGGAGCAGGATTGAGGGGCTGAATAGCCTACTCTTGCTCCTAGTTCTTATATTTTTATGTATCAGCAGTGGCTGGATGAGATCTTGACTGAGCTGGAAGGTTCTATACTGGTTCTCATCCATGATCTTTCTGCCAAATTAAATGCCTCCATCCCCAAACGCTGCCAATGCACCATGGGAAGGGTACAGGATTTTACCTGTGATTGCGATTGACAGAGATGAGGAATAAATATTGCAGAATCTTATCTTTGGTAAAACGTTGAGTAAAATAGGAAAGGGGAGGATGATCCTAGTAATAACAGATGAGGTCAAGGCAGTAGTGAGGTCTAAGCTTACAAATTTGGGATCTCAATCAGTGTGGGCAGAAGGAAGAAATGAGAACATAGGACAAAGATCATGGGGAGTAATTAAGGCATTCTAGAGCGTTTTTGATGATTATTAAAAGATAAATGACGGGCAGGGCTATGGCAAGTGAATGGTACTTGGACATGGTAACCATTTGGAGAGCCAGTGCAAACACAAAGGGCTGAATGGGCCCTTTCTGTGCCATAACATCTCTGTGATTTTGGATTGAATGAAGTTGGGGTGTGGATTCAATCACAATAACAATGCATGACTGTAAAAATATTTTCATTTATGATTGAACTGTGCTTGACTGATTCCTTAGAAATGAATTTCTAAGACCTCTCTCAAGGTAGAAACACCCTTCCACATTATATATTAAAATAGAACAGTATTGCAGCAGTACCTGTATTTCTTGAACATTTGATTCTAGATCTGTATACTTCAAATTATAGTATATATTCTTTTCTAGTATTAAAATCTGTATAGAGACATTATTTACAATGATAAGTAAATGCTGAAAGTGCAACAAACAATTTTCTACCTACTGTCCAATGTCTTGAATTAGCCATGATCAATTCGATCTTAGTTGAATGTTGTGCAATTTGAAAAAGGATGTTTGACCTTCAACTAAGTATCCCCTTTCTCCTCCTGGTGAAAGGCTATGTTAGAAGCAATGTTCGTCGGACATGAATTAGAATTAAACATGAAAGAGTCAACAATTGTAGATATTGTAGATGATGTTTTCTCACTTACTCTCACAGGTAACTCTCTTTCATGTTCACTCCATATAACTGCTCTTCCTCTTCTCACTAGCCCTCCTACTCACTTATATTAGGTTCCCTTTGAACGCCAGATGATGTTGCTCGTATCGTCCCCCTTTGTGCCTGTAGATCAGCCTAATGTTCCTTTCCATCATTCTCAGTATCTGGACCATTATCAACTCATGTTACACCGTCAGAATTCTATCTATCAAAGATTGTAGTGTAGTGACGCTAGCTCATTAATCCAGAGACTCTTGCTCATGCTTGGAGAGCGCAGGTTCAATTTAAAAACAATTACTAAATCTTGAATAGAAACATAGTACTGATTACCATGAAGCTGTCATTTGATTGTGAGGAAGGGAATCTGCTGTCCTTACACAGTCTGGCCTGCAAATGACTCCAGGCTCTCAGAGACGTGGTTGACTCTAACTCTCTAACCCTCTGAAATGGCTGAGCAATTCTGCTTAATTCAAGGATGATTAGGGATGGATGACATATGCCAGGCCGGTCAGCAACAGCTGTGAAAGAATAACAAAAAAATATGACCAGGAATCGATCTAAGGCTTTTGGGTATAGTGTTGGATTTCTGTGCATGTCTTACATCTCCCTGACCAAACTATGTGAAGTTATACAACCTTATTGGTGCATGTATTCACAAATCATAATGTACTGACATTTGGCCTGTTTATTTCCAGCTACAGAATGGAGTAGACAGATATATATCAAGATATGAACTGGACAAGTCGTTATCAATGCATGGATCTCTGATCATTTATCTGAATTCGGTAAGAGGCCATTTGTACTTTGACAGTTCTGACAATGAAGGAGGATAGCCTCAATGAGTCCCAAAAGACTTTGCAGTCATATTGGTAGCTCTGAAGAATCAGAGGCTGTTGCTGTGCTGGGACGGTATTGGCAGGCAAGCCGCAACCCTTGTTTTCATCCAGTTGGGAAGCTTAGAAAATGACCCTGATCTTAACCATGCTCCTCATTTTATTTTTCCAACTTGGGTATATCAGCCAACAGACCATTTATTTTGGACTGTGATGAGAGACATAATTTTTAATATCAATAATATGTAAATATTGTTAATTCCTTCAGACCTGTTTGATGCAAATGGTTTCATTATTTACTGGCAGGATGCTTTAGATGCCCATTTCAAATAGATCCCTGAACAATCTTTGTAGATTTGGAGCAGACCTCTGTTCCAAAAACCAAGAAATTATTGAGGTTACCTCAGAGCACAGCGGGATCTTGTTCAGATGGGCTGAGGAGTGACAGATGGAGCTTAATTTAGATAAATGTGAGGTGCTACATTTTGGAAATCAAGGCAGGACTTATATACTTAATGGTAAGGTCCTGGAGGTTCATAGTTCCTTGAAAGTGAACTTGCAGGTAGACATTTTAGTGAAGAAGGTGTTTGGTATCATAGAATTTTCAAAGTGTGGAAGCAGGCAATTCGGCCCATCAAGTCTATATGGACCTTCTGAAGATCATCCCACACAGACTCATTCTCCCAACCTTGTCCCTGTAACCCTACATCTCCTGCAGCTAACCCACCTAGCCTGCACATCCCTGGACACTATGGGCAGTTTAGCATGGCTAATCTACCCTAACCTGCACATCTTTGGACTGTGGGAGGAAATCCACACAGATACAGGGAGAATGTGCAAACTCCACACAGACAGTTACCTGAGGGTGGAATAGAACCTGGGTTTCTGGAGCTGTGAGGCAGCAGTGGTAACCACTGAGCCACCGTGCTGCCCTGTGTTTGCCTTTATTGTTCAGAGCATTGAGTATAGGAGTTGGAAGGTTATGTTGCGGCTGTACAGGACCTTGGTTAGGTCACTTCTGGAATACTGCATTCAATTCTGGCGTCCCTGCTATAAGAAGGATGTTGTAAAACTTGAAAAGGTTCAGAAAAGATTTACAAGGATGTTACCAGGGTTGGAGGGTTTGAGCTATAGAGAGAGGCTGGAGAGCCTGGGGCTATTTACCCTGGAGTGTAGGAGGCTGAGGGGTGACCTTATAGAGGTATATAAAATCATGAGGGGCAAAGATAGGGTGAATAGCTATGGTCTTTTTCCCAAGGTAGGGGAGTTCAAAACTAGAGTGCATAGGTTTAAGGGTGAGCGGGGAAAAAATTAAAGGGACCTGAGGGGCAACTTTTTTACACAGAGGGTGGTACATGTTTGGAATGAACTGCCACAGGAAGTGATGGAGGCTGGTACAATTACAAAATTTAAAAGACATCTGTATGGGTATAAGAATAAGGAGAGTTTAGAAGGATATGGGCCAAACGCTGGCAAATGGGACTAGATTAATTTAGGATATCTGGTCGGCATGGACGAGTTGGACCAAAGGGTTCGTTTCCATACCGTATATCTCTGTGACTGTGTGACCATATTTCCCTTTTGCATCTCCCTGAGAAGGAATGTTTGCTTTGCCAAATTGTGAGTGTGTACTCATCAGAAGTGAGTCAAAGTTATTGAGTAACGTAAAGATAAAATCGGCATGGTCCTACCAGACCATATGACTGCACTGTCATTAGAGAGAGATGACTGGTGGTGGTTTAACATGAGGGTTACCAGGCCTCAGACTAGGGGAGTGATTGAGAAGGAGAATCCTTCATGTTAACCTTGGCCAGTGTGGGAACTGAACCCTTGCTGCTGGCATCATTTTGCATTACAAACTAGTCAACTGAGCTAACTGCGCTGCTTATTAAATCATCAACTGTATCAATGTTTGCTAAATTCAAACCCAAGCTCAAAGCAAAAATGTTGAGAGCTCTACCACCTAATGCATTAACTGATTGGATTTTAATTTCTTTTTGGTTTTGGAAGTATTCTGATCAAATTGGAATTTTTAATTCTGGCAAAGTTAAAAATTAGGGTTTTCATGGTGTTGCACTTTTCGATCATATCTCCAAAATTTAAAGTATTGTTTATCTTTTCCACTTCTGAAACAGTGCCTTGTCGATGATTTTCAGGTGAATTATATACCCAGTATTGCTGCACTATTTCCTTCATTTCGCATGATTAATCCTTTAGGCTGATATTTAATCGATCAAATGTGTTCTGATACCCTCTCTTAAATTACAATAGGTTTCACATACAGAAGACACTCAGGTGGGATTCAAAATACATCAGTTCTACAAAGTTGGACTTATTCAACCAGCTTCTGTCAAGGTTTATGAATATTACAATAAAGGTGGGTACTTGTAGGACTGATTTTTCTTGGGTAGAAGGTCAGATGATACGTAGACAACTGTGAAGTATTTGGAAACCATAGAAGAAGGGTCTCTTGCCATAAGCTCCATTGGGTTTTGTCATCCTATCTTACCAAACTGGCCTCATTAATTACCTATCTGCCCCTATAGCATCCATTATGTTCAATCTTTGCCCAATCTTACCAGAGCTTCAAGTTCCTAGGAGTAAATATCACCATCAATCTGTCCTGGTCCATCCATGTTCATGCTACAGCCAAGAAAGCACATCAACGCCTCTGTTCCCTCAGAAGGCTAAGGATATTCAGCATGTCCCACAATGACTCTTACCAATGTCTATAGATGCACCACAGGAAGCATTCTATCAGGATGCACCACAGCTTGGTGTGGCAACAGCTCTGCCCAAGACTGCAAGAAACTACAGAGGGTTGGGACTGCAGCCAGGGCCATCATGAAAACCAGTCTTCCTTCCACTGACTCTGTCTATACTTCCCACTGCCTCGGGAAAGTAGCCAAAATAATCAAAAACCCCTCCCACCCTGGTTAAACCTCTTTGGCCCTCATCCATCGGGCAGAAGATACAAAAGTTTGAAAACATGTACCAACAGATTCAAGAACAGCTTCTTCCCCGCTGTTATCAGATTTAAAAACAGACTTCTTATATATTAGAGTTGATCTTTCACTGCACCTTCTCTGTAGCTGTAACACTATGTTCTGCAATCTGGTCTGTTACCCTAATATACTTATTATTTCATAGAATCATAGGACCCCTACAGTGTGGAAACAGACTCTTCGGCCTAACAAGCCCGCACCGACACTCAGAGTATCCCACCCAGACCCATCCCCCTACAACCCACCTAATCTACACATCCCTGAACACTATGGGCAATTTAGCATGGCCAATCCACCCTAACCTGCACATCTTTGGACAGTGGGAGGAAACCGGAGCCCCCAGAGGAAACCCACGCAGACGCGGGGAGAATGTGTAAACTCCTCACAGACAGTCGCCCGAGGCTGGAATCGAACCCGGGTCCTTGGCGCTGTGAGGCAGCAGTGCTAACCACTGTGCCACCGTGCTGCCCAATTTGTCCGGTTAGCACGCAAAACAATACTTTTCACTGTGCCTCAGTGCATGTGACAATAATAAATCAAATCAAATCATAAAATGCTGCTCCCCAAACAACTCGCCACACGACGGATATCTGATAAAACACTGGCATCCTTTGCATCCACCTTCCAGTATAGTGTTGCCCTCATTGACATCATGGCACAGCAGCTACAAAACGCATTGTCCATGGCACAGAACTGGCATGGCTGACACTCCCTGGCACATCCAGCCCCATTCTCTCACCCTGGTCACCAAACATTGTACCTGTTCCTGGCTATATCCTGTCTGAACACCGTAAGTCAGCATTAATCTGCCCCCTCCCCCTGACTCCCAGGGCCAGCTGGAGACCTGCAGCTTGTCATTGTCTGATAGGGTAACATCACATACAAGCAAGCAATCGGATAATTCCAAACACAGATGTGAGCTTTTATTTACAGAGAGAAAACGGAACAGAAATTAAACAAATGATCTTGGCCCTCAATGACAGATTTGGGTACCATGCCCGAAACACAGAACAGTTAACGATTCCAGTTGTCTTCTGTTGGAAGTAAATGTCAGTGAGGTCCTGCCAGCCTTGTGGTGGGGGTCCATCACATGTGAGCTCTGCCATGGATGAATGACAGCTTCCTGCTCACTGTCCTCCTCAGCTGTCTCCACCCATTTTCCCCATTTCCTCTGCATCCATCACGTTGCTTCATTGCCTGCTCCAATTGCACAGAGCAGAATGATGACCAGACAGTACTATAGGGCCCCCACACTCCCTCCCCCAAGCAGCGAAACCATATCTTCAGCAGTTCCATTGTCTGCTCCACCAGGACCTTGCTTGAGGCACAGGAAGCATTGTAACTGTGCTCCATATCAGTTATGGATTGCACAGTGGTGTCATGAGGGATGCCTTGTTACCACACAGCCTGCCATTACACACCCCTGTTGTTAGTCACTAACAGTCCCCATTAACAACTATTCACCCTCCCAGCCTGATCATTATCAACTCTTTTGTCTGTCGAACCGTTCTACTCGCTCTTTAGACTCCTATCGTTTACTCCCTACCCCACCCCTTCCCTATTTTCTGCATATAAACTGACATTTTCCCAGCCACCATCAGTTCTGAGGAAGGGATCTGAAACGTTAACTCTGACTTTTTCTTCACAGACGCTGCCAGGCCTGCTGAGCTTTTCCAGCAACTTCTGTTTTTGATGCCTGTAGTGGATAGATAGCCCTTGTGGCCCCAGTAACCCATCTTTTACCCTCAAACACAGCAGGTAGATGGGAATAACACAGTGTGGAGCTGGAGGCACACAGCAGGCCAGGCAGCATCAGAGGAGCAGGAAAGCTGACGTTTCGGGTCGGGACCCTTCTTCAGATGAGAGTGCTCCAGGATGTAGGAGTTGTGGCAGCTGCCAGGGTAATGGGCACACAACTCCAGCATCACTCTACAGAATGGCAGCTTCATGTTTTTGTTGCTACAATGAGCTGGCAGCCAGTAAATGGGGGTCCTGAGCTTTCAACCCATCAAACTGTCACTTACTCCAACTCCTGGGGCAATGTCCTGGCCATTTTTGAGTCGCATTGGCATCCAGTGAAGGGAAAGTTCTGGCTGGCAAAGATTGACAATACTGTCAGCACTGGGTTCCACTTGGTTACCATGTACCCTCAGCTTTCATGCCCATGACCATCTTACACTGTCTGGGCAGCCCATTCCCACCAGTCTCCCCCAGTGTGGGAACGCACTGCACTGAACCTTGTCTACAACTGTGCTCCTTTAGCCCTGGATCATGGCATTCAGCCTTAACAATGCCCACCCTGCTCCTAGGTACTCCCCCCTTCTGGTGATGGTCACAGTCAATAATCCCTGTCCCCACCTACGCCGAGCAGACACTGACTTTGACAAAGCACTGTGTTTTGATTGAAACGAAGGCCAGGTGAATCCTATTGACTATGAGGTCCTTGACTGAGGCTGTTAACATAGGCCAACCATGGAGCCCTCGCTGACAGATGTAACAAAAGATTCAGAGAGTCCCCTCATTCTAGGGACTGGCTCAGAGTCCATGCGCTGTGCACATGTAAATAAGGGGTGACTTGGTGACGGGATACTGTGCCTCTGTGCAGTTATTTCAGTGGCAATGAGAGTGGGACAGTATGCTCCCAGAGAAAATTCGGTCGCTACCGTCATCTTTGAGTTGGGATAAGCATTTCGGGCATCATGCCTTCATTTGGGAAGCTTGACTTGTTCGATCCTGCCATCGACAACTGGGCCCAGTATGCAGAAAGAATGTGTTATTTTTTCCGGGCAAACTATATCAGGGTGACATTAGAGCAGATGAAAAGCAATGAGTAAACTTACTGCTTGCGGAACTGCAGTATTTTCAGTTATTAGGAGCCTAACTTTCCCTGAAGCTCCAGATACTAAAACCTTTCAAGAGCTAACGATTTTAGTTAAGGAATATTATGATTCCAAGCCTCCTCTAATTCTGAGATGCTATTGTTTTGACTCAGCGGTTTGAGAACAGGGGGAACCTGTATCACGTTTTTTGACGAGGCTAAGATGACTGGCAGAGGCATGTGACTTTGGATTAACCCTTAACGAGGTGCTGAGAGACCGTTTGGTATGTGGGATTAATGATGTAACCATGTGGAACCACCTACTGGCTAAAGCCCGACTGGACTTCAAACAGGCACTGCAACTGGCTTTATCATGAGAAAATGTGACAAGTGGAGCATTGTAACTACAGGGCATCCCAATGGAAGTGGATTCCCTCACCTGTCTGACTGAGCCTGGGGAACACAACTTGAGTGTCTGCAATCGCAGGGCCTCACCCAGGGCATATCCTGAACAGAGGAACTCTAGGTCGGCCCACAGCAAAACCCCAAAACAAAGCCAAGCCTCAGCCAAATGGCTAACATGTTCTTCAGGACCTGGAGCAGTGCCCTTTTCCAGCAGACCATGGAGAACATTCTACAAGGTCTACCCCAGGTTTGTCTAGATGGCAGGCTAATAACTGGGAAGACCAATAAAGAGCACTTGGAGAACTTGAACATCATGCTGAAACATTTCTCCCAGTTGGTTATAGAAGGGAGAAATGTGTGTGCCAGGTGCACCCAAGTGATCTACTTCAGCTACAGAGTCGACAAGACCAGGTTACACCCATTGTGAGATAAAGTGAGGGCGATTAAATGTGCCCAACTCCCCTGTGTGTACTAGAGCTCAGGACTTTGCTTGGGCAAATTATTACAGAAAATACAACTGTAACCTGGCCTCCATTTTGGCACCTTACACCTGCTATTGAAAACTGGTCAACCTTGGAAATGGTCACACAGACAAGAAGTAGCCTTTAGGGAAGTGAAAGAGGAGCTATCATCATTGAAGGTATTGGCCCACTACAATCCCAAGCGTGAGGCGGTGCTGACATGCGATGCCTCCGCGTGCGGTATCGGGGGGAGTGTTGGCTAACCGGTGACCCAACAGAAGGGAACGCCCGATAGCATGTGCTTCCTGGATTTTGGCTGATGTCAAATGCAAATGTGCCCAGATTGAGAAGGAAAGTCTGGCGGTCATCTTTGGTGTGAGAAAGTTCCACCAATACCTTTACAGATGCAAATTTGTAACAGTAATGGACCACAAACCCAAAATGAGCTACTTATAGAAGACAAGGCTATGCTGCCCGTAGCTGCTGTTAAATTCAGCGGTAGGCTCTTATTCTAACTGCATACAATTACAAGTTGGAACACTGTCCAGGAGGCCAAGTAGCAAATACAGATGCCTTGCGTCACCTCCCACTGGCAGATACCCCACTGGTGGTACCACCACTGGAAGAGTTAGTTCTGTTTTTAACTTCCTGGACCTGCCAGTCACCCCTGACAATATCTGACTTTGGGTGTTATTAAGGTCGCTTCCTGGCAAAACTAAAACAGCTGATGGTCATGAAGGAAGCAAAAGGGCCATCACAACCAGGATTGAACCTTTCTGCTCCCAGTGAGACCAAATTGCTATAGAGAATGGCGTATTATTATGGGGAGTAAGAGTGATTGTCCCGAGAAAACACTGCCGCCAAATACTGACTGAAATCTACCAGGATATTCCAAAAGGAAGATGTTGGCAAGAAACTCTGTCTGGGTGGCCAGGATTAGATGCCGACAACGCTGCATTGGTGGGCAGTGCCCAGAGTGCCAACAAGAGCAAAAATTACCACCGGCAGCACCCTCCCCCCAACCCCACATTGGGAATAGCTGGATAAATCCTGGACTTGGTTACGCGTCAACTATACTGGTCCTTTCATGGGCTCAATCTTCCTGGTCATTGTAGACACCCACTCAAAGTGGTTGGACAGGCTTAGAGTTCATTTGACTAACTTAGGGATGATGATTGAAAAGCTGCAAGCATCGTTTGCAATACACAGCCTCCCAAAAGTATTGGCCACCGACAACGAGACGTCATTTACCAGCAGGGAATTCAAGTCAAATAGCATTCAACATTTCCGGAGAGCTCCACTATCCAAAGGTCTGGTGGAAAGAGCAGTCCAACTATTGAAATCAGGCTTAAAGAAGTGTCACTTAGTACCAAATTGTCCTGGTTCCTGTTCGATTATAGGGCGACACCTCACGCAACAACAGGGATAGCTCCAGCAGAGTCGCTGATGAAGCAAAGACTCTGCACCCAGTTAAACCTGATACTTCCAGACCTGGGGCCAAGGGATGAAATAGCAGCAGGAACGCCAATGCCAGCCACATGCTTCCTCTAAACGAGAGAGGCAATTTAATTCAGGACGAAGTTTGGTATTGGAACTAGGGAAATGGCCCTGTATGGGTATGTGCAAGGTTGATACAAGGTCTGGTCCCATGACTTACAAAGTTTGGATAAGTGATACAGTCCTGAACAAACATGTGGATCACCAGAAAGCTGTTACCTCTCAAATGGGGCAGGCGCAAAACATACCAGGCCCCTCAGAACAGCTAGAAGGCCTGTCAGAAACTGTAGATTCTCCCCCTCCGTCTAGTGTCGAGGAAACTTTGGAGTCCAAGACGGATGCAGCCTTTATACTGTTACTGCCTGAAGAAGAGGAGGAAACTCTCCTGAGACGCTCCAGGCACAGGAGACGGGCTATAGCCTGGTACACGCTGCCCATGTCAGAATTGGAGTCAAAGGAACCGGAGCTGGGGTGTAAACATCCTGGGAGAAACTACAAGAAAAAGAATAGGCCTACATCCCCGAACTTTAGTGGGGAAGGGATGCCGTGATTGGAATGAGGGCAGGGTGGATCCACTGACTATGAGCTCCCTGATTGGGGCTGTTAAGCGGGACCAATCAGGGAGCCCTGGCTGACAGATATAAACAGGGGATTTAGAGACTCTCCTCGCTGTAGGGACTGGCTCTGAGCTGGCTGGTCAGAGTCCATACACTGTAATGCACATGTAAATAAAGGGTGACTGGGTGACAGGATACCGGCCTCCGTGTAGTTATTTTGCACTAGGACCCCCCCGACAGACAGTGCCCCCTGACTAATGCACTGGGACCCCATGACAATGCCCCATCCCCTTGAATTGGTTGAGGACTATCACCCAGTAGTTACTGACATGGCCATTTGGTCAAGTGAATGTGCCATGTGTTTACTGCTCAGGCAGCTGGCATTGTGTTGCCTACTTAGTGTGCCCTCTCTCCCTACCTCCGCCCCCCCACCGCCACACTGTCACTCCCTACCCTTACTCCCCACCCCTATCCTTACTCCCCGTGCCCCCAGGGGCACTCCGAGACTAGAAACCCGCCAGTCTAGGGTTTTTTGCTAAAGACCCCCCCCCCCCCCATAAAACAGCAGCAATGACAGCCTTTGGCTCTGGCTAAAGTAACGATATGCCAATTGGCTTGGCAAGGCATGGATGGCATGAACATAGAGGTTGGCGCTAAATGAGCGATCATTCAGACGCTAAGTGAGCCAGCGCTGAGACACAGCCTGGTCCGTTCTGTGAGCTGGGCCACCTGACCTTGTGCACCCCACTGCAGCCTTCTCAATGCTGGTTGCTGCATGCCAATGCCTCTGGAGTGACCTGCCAGTGTATCTGGGCGGTGCCATGTTGATTTCAGAGGGTTCGGAAACCATTGTCTGTTGGTGCTGATGGTGTCTGAGAAGCGAGCTCTGAGACGTTGATCCTGCCCTGACATGTTGTTGTTCGGTTTCCAACATGGAAGGGAGGCATTAACCGACTGGTATTATCATTAGACTATGAACAGGAAGAAAGGGACCTGGGTTCAGATCCTGCCATGGCATGTGGTAGAATTTGAATTGAATAAAAATCAGGAATCTAATGGTGACTGTTGGGGAGAAAAACCCACCTGGCTCACTAATGCCCTTCAAGGAATGTAGCCTGTCATCTTTTCTGAAGAAGGGTCCAGACCCAAAATGTCAGCTTTCCTGCTCCTCTGATGCTGCTTGGCCTGCTGTGTTCATCCAGCTCTACACCTTGTTATCTCAGACTCCAGCATTGGCAGCTCCTACTATCTCTCAGTCTGTCATCTTTACCTGATCTGACCATGCGACTCCAGACCCACAGCAATGTGAATGCCTCTTTACTGCCCTCTGGGCAATTAGGGATGGGCAATAATTGCTGGCCCAGTGAACAAAAAAAATTTAATTCAAAGTAATTGACAAGCTAAATCAACCTGGTCCTGCTCTGTTTTCCTGTCGTGTTTTCCCAACAGGGTAAATTTGGCAAATTAGGGAGTCTGAATATTAATGAGGTGAGTTGGGCTCTTTAAAAAGGTGTTTAATGATCCGTAATGAGATTCAGTTGGTATCTCGCCACTGCCTAGCGAGAATCTTGCTATGCTGCTTGTGAAAAGCTTAAAAGATGGAGTGAGGTTGTTCTTGAAATTTGGGAAGGACTTATCACCCAATTCAGCCTCCCATCTCACTATGGCCTACATCACTTGGAGCCCTGTAAGATTCCACTCTGTATGTCATGAGGATAATAGAGCAATGAACACAGGGCAGTGTCGCAAAGATAACCATTATGTATTTTTAAAATAGCATCTGACTGCAAAGCTTAAAATAATTGTGGACCTGGTGACACAATAAAACATAGCTCAATTCTCAAAAAAGAGAAGAATGCCAAAGTCAGGGATCTCTGTGTATTCATTGTCAAAATTAGTTTATTGGAATTTGATCTTTTTTTTTTCTGCTCATGTCAATCATCATATCAGAAAGTAAATCCTGAGTTAATATTCCAAGAGCCTGCATTCTCAATTGTATTGACTTAAAAATGTAAGGCATTATTCAGGAAAACAACTTTCAGTGTTTCAATAAATTGTGAATGAATTTGTTGGTGTTACTTTCCTTAATATGTCTACACTATCTTCATGTCAATTTCATTACTTGTGCAGAGAACAGCTGCAGCAAATTCTACAATGTCGATGAAAACAACGCCATGCTTAGCAAAATCTGTCGAGGTGACGTTTGCAAATGTGTAGAAGGTAAGATTCAGTTATTAGTTTTATATTATGTATTGACCAATCCCGGGTCAAGGTTCTGCAATTCATTGTGGTTTGATTTGGGATGCCTGGAACTCTTAAGCTCCCGAGTGATGAGAGATGAACTGGTTCTCCTGAGGTTTATTTACCCAACATCTCAGGCAACCGCAATAGGGTTAATTTAAGAAGGATCACTTCCCTTTGTTGACATCTTTCTCCCAGACCCCAATGAATTTATGTTTGAAAAGGAGCCAGTTTAACCAGGCTAACTTGAATTAACAAAAAAACTGAGAATATGGGAAGAATTACTAACATAACAGGGGCGGCACAATGGCTCAGGGACCCGGGTTCAATTCCACCCTCAGGCGACTGTCTGTGTGGAGTTTGCACATTCTCCCCGTGTCTGTGTGGGTTTCCTCCGGCTGCTCCAGTTTCCTCCCACAGTCCGAAGATGAGCAGGTTAGGTGGATTGGCCATGGGGAATTGGCCATAGTGCCCAGGAATGTTTAGGTTAGGTGGGTTAGACATGGGAAAATCAGGGGTAGGAAAGTGGGTCTGGGTGGGATGCTCTTTGAAGGGGCCGTGTGACTGTTGGGCCGAATGGCCTGTTTCCACATTGTTGGAATTCTATGATCTATAAGCACACAGGTTAGGAAATAAGAAGCTAGTTTAGAATTAAAGATATAAGGATCAGTCTCTGAATTGAAGAGTGGATCATTGAATGCACTGACTGTTGTACAGGGGTGTCATTGGCAGTTAAATGGTCAACATCAAGTTTTTTGGTTTTGCACGCTGAATGAAGCACTTTTGTCCTGACTCCTTTTGGCAGTGGTTGCTGGCTAGTTAGCTTCGAGCACTCAGAGTGAGGCAGTAACTTTACCCCTTTTTCAGTACCTGCTTTGCAGAGGTGCTTAAAGGCAATTCACAAAGCTCTGACCTTCACAGCACATTAATCCACACACCAAGGTACTCCTAATTTTACTGGCAAGTAATACACTTGTGATATTTGGTTTAGATATTATCTTACTTTTTATTCCCTCCCCAAGCGTCTTCGAAAGATTTCCTACCAAAAGCAAAGTACTGCAGATTCTGGGAATGTGAAGCCAACAATGGGGAATGCTGGGAAACTCAGCAGCTCTGGCAGCATCTGTGGAGAGAGAAAATTATCTCTCGTTTTAAGTCCAGTGTGACGAAGAATAATAATAGAAGAATAATTGAAGAAGAATAATATTCAATCAGGAGATAGACACAGTTCTTAGGCCTAAAGAGATTGAAAAAGTAGGGGTGAAAGGGGGAACATGGTATTGAATGGTGGAGCATACCTGAAAACTGTTCTCTTGTTTCTGTTTTTTGTGTTTCAAAACGTTAACTCTGTTTCTCGCTCCACAGATGCTGCCAGAGCTGCTGAGTTTCTCCGGCAATCTCCCAGTGTTTGCTTCATATTTCCAGCATCCACTGTATTTTGCTTTTAGTACAAGTTCTTTCTAAGACGTTTGGGTTGGGGGCGTGGTAATAAAAAGTAAGATTATATCTAAACCAGAAATCACAGGTGTGTTATTTGTCTGTAAAATTTGGAGTATCGTGGTGTTAAGCAAACAGGGAAGGAAGTTAACTATTCAAAGTTTACCAATTACATTTTAAGCCATTATTTGAAAGACAGAGATTTTTCACAAATCAAATTTTCTATTTCTTTCGTACTTGTAGGAAGTTGTTTGTCAGTCAAACTGCCAGAACATCGAATCTCTTACAGAGACCGTCACGAAAGATCATGTGAACATGGGATCGATTATGGTAAATTCATCACACAGCATACTACAGAATAAATCTGACCAATCTTTCTGATAGATTCCAGAAAGGGCTTAATATAGGGTGCCATTGTATCTGTAATGGTCAATGGAATTTGATGAAATGTTAGATCAGTAGAGTTAAAGTTTATGATTAGGTTGGAATACTGATGCTTTTGAGGCTGAAGATTATTCTTTTTTTTTAATTCACGGGATGTGGCATCACTGGGCTGGGCCAGAATTTATTGCCCATCCCTAATTACCCAGAGGGCAGTTAAGAGACAATCAGAAACAGGAGCTGAAGATGGTTGTTTGACTCCTCAAGCCTGTTCTGCCATTCATAAGATCATGGTTGATCCAAAACTCCTCGCATCCACTTTCCTGCTGTTATCCTGTAACCCCTTGATTCCCCTATTGATCAAGAATTTATCTATCTGAACCCTAAAAACGCTCAAGGACTCTGCTAACACAGCTCTCTGTGGCAAGGAGTTTCAAAGACCCTTAACTCTCTGAGAGAAGAAATGCCTCCTAATTTCCGCCATAAATTGGTGCCCCTTTATTCTAAGACTATGGACCTACGCTTTCCCATGAGGTGAAACATCTTCTTGGCATTTACCCTGTGAAGCCCCTTCAGAATCCTATATGTTTCAATGAGGTCACTTCTAAATTAAGAGTCCACCTGGAGTCACGTATAGGCCAGACCAGATAGAGATGGAAGTTTCCTTCCCAAAAGGACATTAGTGGGTTGATGGAGTTTTTCCTGATAAATGGCAATGCTCATCACTAGACTTTTGATTCGTGATTTTTCAAAAAAATATTGAATTCAGATTCCACCATCTGGGATTCAAACTTGAGTAGAACATTATTTGTGTCATTGGATTAATAGTCTCGTGATAATACCATTCTGGGGTCCTTTTCATTTGTCACCTGAAGATGCCTCCAGCGTATGAGTGACACAGGGTGTGGGAGTCATTGTTTGGACCACACTTGTTGCCTTTCTCTACTTGCCCTTGAAATTGCCAGTTTCACAAAAAATGAGGCTGAAGTCAGGAAATAATTGACATTCAATCTGTGCCTGTCACAGGACAGCTGATATTGGAGCCCACTATATGGGAGGGTGGTCAAAGTTCTGGCTGCCTTTTCTTAACCTGATCCAGGCTCATGTTACAATGTTATTATGGTATACCTCCTCCCATCAAGGTTAGGTTTGTGACTGTCCTGGAATGTCTGGGAGCCTCCCATAATTGAGGATCGAACCCCTGGACATGATAGTGAGTGACGCACGAAGAAAACTTGTGAAGTTAATAACAGAGAAGCCTTTGTGCTGAGCTTGTTTTACATGTGCAGCATTGAAATATGTCTCTCCAAAGTACATAAAAACATAAGAACATGAGAAATAGGAGCAGGAGTAGGCATTTGGCCCATTGAGCCTGCTCTGCCATTTAATAAGATCATGGCTGATCTTTTCATGGACTCAGCTCCACTTACCCACTCACCTCAATTCCTTTACTGTTCAAAAATCTAATCTTTGTCTTAAAAACATTCAACGAGGAAGCCTCAACTGCTTCACTGAGCAGGGAATTCCACAGATTCACAACCGTTTGGGTGAAGAGGTTCCTCCTCAACTCAGTTCTAAATCTGCTCCCCCTTATTTTGACGCTATGCCCCCTAGTTCTAATTTCACCCACCAGTGGAAACACCTTCTCTGCTTCTACCTTATCTATTCCCTTCAACATTTTATATGTTTCTATAAGACCCCCCTTCATTCTTCTAAATTCCAATGAATATATTCCCGGTGTACTGAACCTCTTCTCATAAGCCAACCCTCTCAATGTCAGAATCAACCTAGTGACCCACCTCTGCACCCCCTCCAGTGCCAGTACATCCTTTCTCAAGTAAGATCAAAACTGTACACAGTACTCCAGGTGTGGCCTCACCAGGACCCTATACAGCTGCAGCATAACCTCCCTGTTTTCAAACTCCATCCCTCTAGCAATGAAGGACAATATTCCATTTGCCTTCTTAGTTACCTGCTGCACAACCATTTTTTTGTGATTCATGCACAAGGACACCAGGTCCCTTTGCACAGCAACATGCTGCAATTTTTTACCATTAAATAATAGCCCATTTTGTTGTTATTCCTACCAAAATGGATGACTTCACGCTTACCAACATTCTGGTCCATCCAGACCCTTGCCCACTTACGTAACCTATCTATATCCCTCTGCAGACTTTCAGTTCCTCTGCACACGTTGCTCTACCATTCATCTTAATGTCATCTACAAACTTTGACACACTACACTATGTCCCCAACTCCAAATCATCTACATAAATTGTAAACAATTGTGGTCCCAACACTGATTCCTGAGACACACCAGTCAGTCACTGATCACCAACTAGAAAAACACCCATTTATTCCCATTCTTTGCCTTCAGTTACTCTTAACCAGTCTTCTATCCATGCTAATACATTACCCATAAGGCCATGCATCTTTATCTTATACTGTAGCCCTTGTTCGGCACCTTGTCGAAATTCAAATGTACCACATCCACCAGTTCTCTGTCATCTGTTGCACACATGTAATGTCCTCAAAGAATTCCAGTAAATTAGTTAAACATGACCTGTCTTTCATGAACCCAGGCTGTGTCTGCCCGATGTGACAATTTCTATCCAGATATCTCACTGAGATTTTGGAGTAGATCTGTAGCTCGGGTTGTGGGTGTTGAGGTTGGTTGGCTCACCGAGCTGGTTTGTTGTTTCGCAGACGTTTCGTTACCGTGCTTGGTAACATCCTCAGTGCAGCCTCCGATGAAGCGCCGGTGTGTTTTCGCGCCTGGTTTTTAAACTCTGGCGTCCGTTGAGATGGATTGCCTCACTTCCAGTTTTCCTTCATAGTGGAATGTATATGGGGTCGAGTTCAATGTGTTTATTAATAGCATGCTTCGTGGAGTGCCATGCTACCAGCAATTCTCATGCTTGTCTCTGCCTAGACTGTCCCAGGATCTTGGTTCCAGTCGAAGTGATGGTTCATCTCAATTCACGTGGACAAGGAAAACCACCACTTCGACTGGGACAGTCTAGGCAGAGACAGGCACGAGAATTCCTGGAAGCATGGCAATCCACGAAGCATGCTATTAATAAAGACATTGAACTCGACCCCATATCCATTCTACTACGAAGGAAAACCGGAAGTGAGGCAATCCATCTCAACGGACCCCAGAGTTTAAAAACCAGGCGGGAAAACACACCGACGCTTCATCGGTGAAGCATGGTAACGAAACATCTGCGAAAGAAGAAACAGCTCGGCGAGCCAACCAACATCAACAACCTCAAGATGTCTCACTGTTTCTTCCTTAAAGATAGATTCAAGCATTTTCCCCACCACAGAAGTTAAGCTAACGGGCCTATACTTACCCACCTTTTGTCCACCTCCTTTTTTAAATCGCGGTGTCACATTTACTGTTTTCCAATCTGCCAGAGCTATCCCGGAATCCAGCGAATTTTGGTAAATTACCAAAAGCGCATTTGCTATTTAATTTGCTATCTCTTGTGGTTTTGCACATTCTGTGCTGGGCAGAAAGAATGCCTCTATTAAAGTCTCAGTCCAACCTCTCCCGAAATGCATGCGGACTGATTTGCTTCTTACTTGAGGAAGCCAAAACACTTGAAAACACCCTCTGATTGTCCAGATCTAAGCTTGCTAATTTAAAGCAGGAGATTTAAGTTGCATTTCTGATTAGAGGGTGTGGTAAAACTTTGTAACCCTGCCACACATTGATTAGCACAACCTCCGCTTGAACAGTTCTAATGGTACACAAATCACAATGTAAAACATTTCTTTAAAATTCCTTTTTATCTTTTTTAGTTTACAAAGTAACATTTCGCAAGAAGGAGAAGAGAGACAATTACATAAACTACGAAATGCAAGTTCTGATTGTGATAAAACAAGGTGAGTTATTTTCGTGTTCCTCAACTCAACTCCAAAAAAGAACGCATGCTTTCAGAAAAGTAAACAACGTCCATGTGCACTGAGATTAGGGATATCCGAAAACTCTAATCCAGACAGTATAATGATACTTACACCAGTAGACCTTTAGCATCCAGTCTGTAACTATTCCACAAGAGATATAGCAAGTTGAATGGAAGTGAATGACACACAAAGACATGCATTTAGCACCTCCAAGGTAGTGAGACCTCCCAAAGTACATCACAGGAAGGGCATCAGTCAAAAGCTGATAGACGAGTCTCTCCCGATGATGTGACAGATGAGAATTTACTGGGCAGGTGCAATTGGTTTAATTTGGGATTATGGTTGGCATCGACTGGTTGGACCAAAGGGTTTGTTTCTGTGCTGTATGGTTCTATGAAAGCAAAACTAAAACCCTGTGTCTGTGTTAGCCTGATTCCACCCACTCATGTTTCTTTGGTCTACTTTGAAAAAACCCCAAAACTATTTACTCTGCTTTCCATGGACACCTTGACACCATGTCTACAACTCCCCCTTTCTAGAGAACCAGGACAGAACAAATCTCTCCTAAAGGTACACATTGTTGCATTAGTGAAGCGAAAGTTGGCGGAACATTAGATGGTGTTTGAAAATCATGAAGACCCAACAGTGTAGATAGAAACAAGGTGCTCTCATTGATGAAAGAGCCAAGATCAATCACTGTGATATACGATGAATAGAAAAGAACCAATGGTGACATGAGAAAGGATGTTTGACCCAGGGAATGGTCAGAATCTTGAATGCACTGTCTGAGGTAGATTCTAGCATGGCTTTCAAAAGAGAGTTGGATAATCTTCTCAGAGAGGGAAACAAAACAAAAACTGCTATAAGGAAATGGCAGGGGACAGGGACTAGCTGAATTATTCTTGCAGACAGCTAACACAGAAAGGATGGACCAGATGATTCTTTCTACAATGTAACGGGCTGTGGAACATGCTCAAGAGCCAAAATGACTTAGTCCTGTTCCTGTGTTCCTATCATTCTATGACTCCACATGTGGTCAATGGCAAAGATCCAGTGTGTACCTTTGTCAACTAATATTTAATAATTACAAATGTCTCCAGCTACATCCGCATTGGCAGTTAGCCACATGTAGCATGTACCCTAGCCCTAATTCATTGAAGAACATCGAAATATGGTCAATCAGAGCAATCTTTCATCTGACATCATGCATTTTGTTTTTAGGTACTGATGATGTTTACCCTCAAAACATTAGAGAACTAATCATTCATGCTAATTGTGAGGAAATATTTAATGTGGAATTGGAAAATGACTATCTGCTGATGGGACAGGTAATAGATCTGTGGAAAGGTGATGAAAGGTGAGCTAGAAATTCTGAATTAATGTTATTCTTTTGTATCATTCTCTTTCACAAATGTTGATTAGCCACATCAATTAATTTCAGAAAATGAAGTGTCTCTGTTTAAAGGCTTTGTGATATTGTAGTCTAAAAGGTGCAATTTTCTAATTCTTGATGAGAGGTGGAAAGTGAGGTGCACATTTTGAGGATGGGACGAACATGTCAATAGTCAAACCCCATCACTCCACCAGCGTTAAATGTGCTGATTCAATCATCAAAATGTACAAATGATTCCTTTTTGTGCAACCATGCAAATTCAGAAACTTTCATTAGGCTTCTTTTAATGAACTCAGAATGATCTACTTCTTAAACTTGTTCTTCAAACACTGGTTGACATCTAGGCATAATCCTGAATTAGAACTATATGTTCTTAATCCCAAACAGAGATGCACACACACACACAACACAAAAGACAACGGCCTCTGCAGAGAGGAAATTTTTCTAAAGAAAGGGTGAAAGGAAAAGCACCCTCGTCAACCAGGGTTCTGAAAATGAAACATAGAATTTGATGATTTGTCATGATTTCTTATCCACCAAATCAAATTTTGTTGATGGCTATATACTGATGGAAGATGTTCTGTTCAGATTGAAATTAACCAATGTCCGAGCCTTTGAAAAATAGCTCAACTTTTCAGGGTTTCTCAGGTAGTCACAAATATTGATATTTCAAAACTAAAAGTTTATATAAGTTTATGTTGCAGCTGTACAAGGTGCTGGTGAGGCCACACCTGGAGTACTGTGTGCAGTTTTGGTCTCCTTACTTGAGAAAGGCTGTACTGGCACTGGAGGGGGTGCAAAGGAGGTTCACTAGGTTGATTCCGGAGTTGAGGGAGTTGGTTTATGAGGAGAGACTGAGTAGATTGGGATTATATTCATTGGAATTCAGAAGATTGAGGGGGGATCTTATAGAAACATATAAAATTATGAAGGGAATAGATAAGATAGAAGTAGAGAGGATGTTTCCACTGGCAGGTGAAGCTAGGACAAGAATGCATAGCCTCAAGATTAGAGGGAGCAGATTTAGGACTGAATTGAGAAGGAACTTTTTCACCCAGAGTGTTGTTAATCTATGGAATTCCTTGCCCAGTGAAGTAGTTGACGCTACTTCAGTAAACGTTTTTAAAGATAAGGTAGATATTTTGTTGAACAATAAAGGAATTAAGGGATACGGTGAGAGCGCGGGTAAGTGGATCTGAGTCCACGAAAAGATCAGCCATGATCTTATTGAATGGCGGAGCAGGCTCGAAGGGCCGGATGGGCTACTCCTGCTCCTAGTTCTGATGTTCTTATGTTCCCAATACTTCTACTGAAGTTTGTGCAAACATATACACATAGAGGCAGGCATAGACAGACGCTCTCATATACAGCCCAAAACATATACACATCCTAACACCCCTATACAGGTTGGGGAGGTGATGACCCAGTGATGTGATTGGTAGCATATTAATCTAGCAGCCCAGGCAATATTCTGGGCATATGGGTTCAAATCCTGCCATAACAGCTGGTGATACTTAAAGTCAGTAAAACAAAAATCTGGCATTAAGAATCTGATGATGATCATGAAACCATTAACTCTGTTTTTCTCTCCACAGATGCCTTCTGCAGCACTGTCTATTTTTGTTTCAAGTTCTTATTAATTTAGAAAGTGTACACTATCGGTATGTGAGGTTTCTTCCTCATAATTATTGACTCTCTCAATTGCAGGATAAGCTATGTGATTGGAGATGGATCATGGATAGAATGGTGGCCAAATGATGTTCAGTGCCAAAATCGGCAATTCGCCAGACTCTGCCAGAACCTGGAAGAATTTCGTGAAATTTTAATGGTCAACGGCTGTGACTATTAATTTTTTTAAAATGTTAATGGTAACAAATATTGTTTGCATCCAGTCATCCAAAATAAATCAAGCTTTCTAATCAAATATCAAATGATGTGGAAACAGATTTAGGTCAAGTTGTGCAAAACATTGAAGGGAAAACATTCAGCCACACAGCTTGCTGTAAAACCTGGCTATAGATAATACCCTGTGGCATGTGATGAAATAAAGGACGCAGAAACTGAATTGCAAGGGGAGTTATAAGACATGTCACAACAAAAACAGAAGTTGCTTGAAAAGCTCAGCAAGTCTGGCAGCATCTGTGAAGGGAAAAAACAGAGTTAACGTTTTGGGTCTGGTGACCTTTCCTCAGAACCCTTCCTCCTTATAAGACATGTCGTTTGATCAAGATGTACAGTACTTTCTTTATCTCATCATGGGTGGCATGGTGGCTCAGTGATCAGCACTGCTAACTGCACAGGACCAGAGACCTGGGTTCAATTCCAGCCTTGGGTGACCGTTTATGTGGAGTTTGCTCATTCTTCCCGTGTTTGTGTAGGTTTCCTCCAGGTACCCTGGTTTCTTCCTGCAGTCCAAGGGTGTGCAGGTTAGGGTGGTTTGGTCATGCTAAATTGCCTGTAGTGTGCAGGGATGTGGTGGATTAGCCATATGGAATGCAGTGTTCATGGGATAGAGTAGCGGGGTGAGTCTGGGTGGGATGCTCTCTGGAGAGTTGGTATGGACCTGTTAGGCCGAATGGCCTGTTCCCACGCTGTAGGGATTCTATGGATTTGTTCTTTGTCTGATATTCTGTGTGCTATGAATTTCACACATTCTCCATGCAAATTGACTCTTATTTTTCTCACAGTTTGGTTACCGATACACTAACTCTCAAGTGGCATCTTCTACGGGGTCACAGAACTTGTCAAGTCTTGTATCGGAATCAGATGAGAAATCCAATGAAGTTGTGATGTCTGGAGCATCTCGCTCCATCTATGGTTATGGAGAAGTTTCTTGCTGGGCCATTATAATTCGATCATTGTCTTGCCTCATTAACATGCCGCCTCCTATCTTACCAAATGTGGCAAGCCAGCTAGGCATTGGGAAAAAAAACCTGACAAGGGCGTCAGAGCGGGTAACTGGCAACTTCAGATTGCTGTTTGCTCTGAAGGACTTCCGATTTGTTTAGGACACAACAGCATCTCAGGGCACAATCCACGGCGCCAATGTTTGCCCCTCATCTGTGGATGTTGGGCATCTGCCAACTCGTTATGTCATCTCTCCAATACACTGGCAGGGCGTTCAGGGAGCACAGACCTTGTTACAGGGTGCACTGGCTGAAAGGGACACTGTGCACACAGACAGGGACCTGACTCATGGATTGATCCAGGCTGCATCTCTGGGCTGCTCTCTTGCTGTCATAGCACACACTCACTCAACACCTTCCTGCTTGCCCTATCCATGCCTTGTCTTGATATGCCAACTGACACAGTCACACAATGAGGCAGATTCCCTTGCTGGTCAGCAATCGTCAGTCAAAGTGTGGGTGTACACGACAGTGCGTTACGTCAATCTCACGCACACACCCTGTGCCAGCACATTGTCAGGCTACTCTGATACTACTCCAGGAGTTCAGCTATGGTCATGTGTCCTGTCAGGGTGAGCTCAGTGAGGGGTCTGTGTCTCTGCAGTCCCAGGGAATGGGTCACTCAGTCATATGGTTCCATCATAGCCAGTTGTGGGTGGAGGGGTTGGTCAGGTCACTGAAGGGGGCAGGATGGGGTTGGGGATCAAGGGGTCCACTGCCATTGGAAAGAGACTCAGCAGCCAATTTGAAAACTTTGAAAAATGGTGTCATAGAGCACTGAGAAAAGGCTCTTCAGCCCATCAAGTCTGTGTCAGTCCAAAACAAGCAACCAAATATTTTAATCCCATTTTCGAGCATTTGGCCCGTATTCTTTGGAACTGGGGGCTGCAGGCGAGTGGAAGGGGGGATGACAGTTTTGAAGAGGGGCAATAACTTCTGCAATATGGTAAAGCATGGGTGGGAGGGGGAGAGGTCATGTGGAAGGATCAGGTGCGTTCATCCATGGCCAGGAGCACCCTGGATAAGGTGTTGGTTGGTGGGTAGGGGTCGAACAGGGTATGATCACACCTTCACCGGTCAGGGCCTGTGAGGGGATGGGGGACCAGTGCAGTCTCATTTTGGACGGTCTGAGTGGGGACTATCAGTAAGGGCTATCAGGAAGGGCATCTGGATGTTCGGGGCCTTTCTGACATGCACAGGCGAGACCAGAAACTACTGGCTGAAGAGTGCTCACTGATCTGTTCCATCTTGCTGGAAATTGAAGGTAGGCAGTAAGGAGGGAAATAGCTGTAACCAGACCACCATATAGTGGTTGCAGTAGGTGATTGGGCCTGTGAGGACAGGGGCTGTAGGACACACTGGCGTGAGGACTTTTAAAGGGAAATTTACACACCATGCACAGTACAAGACACATACATGTGGGGTTCCTCATCCCGAATACACTGGGCGTTTAATGCTTGCCCCAGACCTTACTGAACACCTCAGTCAAGCCTGCAGTTTTGGCCACAGAGGGAAGGGAAAGAAAAGGGGTATTTTAGGATAATGGTGTCAGCATTATCCTGTACTGCACCTTGATCCTCTTGCTTCCACTCTCTGCAGAAGACTGTCAACACAGATATCGATCCATGGTACATTTTTTGTGATCATGATATGATGCCTCATGTAGCCATAGTTAAACTTAGAAATACACCGAGGGACAAAAACACACACAGCACAAGGTTAAAGCAGTTTCATCTGTATATATAAAAAAAGTGCCAAATTATGTCAAGTAACCATTGTCCCAGCGGCTGTTCTGTTATTAGAGACAGAGAGAGAGATGATGGGTGGTGAGTTTAATCTGAGGGTCACCGTTCCACAGGAGAGGGGAGATGTTGAGAAGGAGGGTCCTTCATGGTAACCTCAGCCAGTGTGAGAATTGAACCCAGGCTATTGGCATGGTTTCACTCTGCATCGCAAACATGCTAAATGACCCCCTCCAGATAATGTACACTACATTGTCCCCTGTGGCCTCAGTCCCTTGTAATCCTTGACCTCTGGTGTATGCTTTACCAGGCAGCAGCTACATTACTCCCATTGGAGCCAATGGCCAATTGACAACCAGTCTCGGACTGTCTAGCGGCTCTCAGGAGTGGGATTTCTGCACCCTGGGTCCTCAATCTCAGCAGAGACCCAGCACTCACCGATAATGTACCTGATTCATTCGAGCAGAGTCCCTAAGCTATGGTGACATGGGATCCCTGCTGGCTTTCCCAGATTCATTTCCAATGCTCTGCTCTTTGTTCTTCATGTAATAGTGATGAGAAAAGAAAGGGAAATGTGGTCCAACTATTCATGTTATTGATGTTGGCCAGCGGTATAGACTTCCTCACTTCTGAAACCCCTTTCTCTGTCTCAGCAGCAATTACAAGGCAGTGTTTAAGGGCAGCAAGCCTCATGGATCTTCCCCTCAGATAAGTGCAGCTCAATATAATTTCAAAGGTCAGGTATCTCAGGCCAGGGAGCAGCCCTAGCCCTGGGCCAGACTGGGTTCGAATCCCACCTGCTCCAGAAGTGTGTCATAACATCTCTGAACAGATGGATTAGAAATGTTTAGACCGGGAAGCAAACCTCTTGCGTACTGTGTCAAAGATGTGACAGTGATGTGCATTTAATCTAGGAGGCACAAACGCGACCACTCCATGTCAGGGCTTTGGTACGTATCTGAGAGTGCTGGTGTGTTTTTCTTTGACATTTTAGGTCTTTGTGAACCTTGCATTTCTGCTGCAGTGCAGTTTTAGCCACTAGGTGGTGACCAACCATAGGAATCAAACTGAAAAGAAGGTTTTGGCCATAAACCTTGGAAGTATTTTATGGATACATAGCGGATTTGGCATTTATCTAGCAAATACATTGATCTAAATAAAATTAACCTCTGTACTTGGATCTGTCTGTTGCTTTTACAGCTGTGCATTATACTGGACTATACCTGTTGTATTATAAGACCATAAAACATAGCAGCAGAAATAGGCCGTTCAGCCCATCGAGTCTGCTCTGCTATTCAATGAGATCAGAACTGATCTGATAATCCTCAAACCCACTTTCTTGCCATTTCCCCATAACCCTTGATTCCCTTACTGATTAAAAGTCTATCTCAGTCTTGGAGATACTTAATGGCCCAGCCTCAACTGCCCTCTGCAGTAAAGAATTCATTGCCTTCCGAAAGAAGAAATTCCTCCTTGCCTCTGTCTAAAAAGGTAACACAGAAAGGCACTGCCCCTTTGAGACAGTTAGACTCCATCACGATATGTGATACTCATATAAAATCATGAGAGGCACAGATAAGGCAGATGGCCAACAGCCTTTCCCCAGGGTAGGAGGGGTCTAAAACTAGAGGGTATAGGTTTAAGGTGAGAGGGGAGAGATACAAAAGGGTCCAGAGAGGTAACATTTTCACACAGAGGGTGATGATTGTCTGGAACGGGCTGCCAGAGGGAGTGGTGGAGGTGAATACAATTTTATCATTTAAGAAACATTTAAACAGGTACATGGCTGAGATAGGCATGGAGGGATATGGACCAAACATAGACAAATGGGACTAGATTACATGTGAAAACTGGGCAACATAGACAAGTTGGGCCAAAGGACTTGTTTCCATGCTGTAAACCTCTATAACTCTATAAGATGTCTCCATCTTTCTCTCCAGTCGGTCTATTAACATTGAGTCAGTCTATCTGTCAATTATATATGTAACACTATAGTAATCTAATTAAGTGCTCAGCCATAAACTGGCTTGTTCTTAATTTCCTGAATATTTATTAAACTGGGAAAGGTGCAAGTAAAGATTTACAACAATGTTACCGAGACTGGAGGGTTTGAGCTATAGAGAGAGGCTGGATAGGCTAAGACTATTCTCCCTGCAGTGTTGGGGGCTGAGGGGTGACCTTACAGAGGTTTATAAAATCATGAGGGGAATGGTTAGGGTGAATAGCCAAGGTTTTTACCCCAGTGTAAGGGGCATAGGTTTAAGCTGCTAGGAGAA